CTAACCCTTAACTGTACCCCACAAAACCATAACAAAAAAATATTAAAAAAAAAAAAAAAGAAACTTACCTTTCACAAAGACCCTATTTTCTTGCTGAAAGAGCCCCTGGAAATCTGGTCTAACCTCAGGGGTATTTGCTCACACCCACCCGCAAGGAAATGGTGACGCTACCTGTCTGAGCCACCTGTACTTTCTGAGCACATCCAATAGGGAGGGAACACAGACCATTTCATGCGAATGACTCTCAGACCAAAAGCAAGGCTTCTCACCGTCGCCTGCACAGTGGAGTTGGCTGGAGAGGACAGGGGCTTTGCTGCCTTCATGAGGTGGGGTGGGAAGCCCAGCATCAGTATTTTCAGAAGATTTCAGAAGCACCCCAGCAGTCCTTATGTGCAACCTGGCAGGCAGCCACTGTCCCAAAGCAACTGCTGTGTCTCCTGCCTGTGAGGTGAGTGTGAGAAGGGACCCGGTCACTGCTGACGTTCTCAGAGCCAGGATCCTCCAAGGGGTTGGAATTTACACATCACGGTTCGTGAAGATGCCTCCCTGAAGCCTTGTTTCCAAGCAATCCTATTCAATTTGAATGGAGTTTTCTGAGTTTTCAGGAAAAAAAAGGAAGACACGAGCCTTTCTAGAAGTTCTGCTGAATTCTGAAAGGCTTTGTGCAGTGTGCATCAAACACTGTGCATGAAGAATTCAGCACTGTCCTCAGACTGTGCAAAAAGGAGAGAACATGGGTTCTTCTTAGGCCTCGGGTGTGGAAGGTGATGAATTGTATTTACACCCAAACTGGAAGTTGCTGAAACTTCATTTTAAAAAGAGATGTGTTTTGGCCCTCTGTGTTGGTGTTTCTTTACATTTCGTTCTAGGTTATGTCTTGCTTCCATTCGCAAAACAAAAACGAGCAATTAGGGGCTTGTTAATAACTTGCATTGGTAATTAAAGAACACTGTGCCTCAGAAAAGTCTTAATGGACTTCATCGAGTTTACCCGCCTGGCTGTTCTTGTGTTTCCAGCAGGGAGAGAGCTGATTTGCTGAGCGCACAGATGTGTCCAGCCTTGGCATTCTTGTTCACCCCCAGCAAACCCCAAAGACTCTGGGGGAGATACCCAGGCTCCTGGAGAGTCCATGCTTCCCAGTCTATTAACTGGTGACCCCGGCTCTGTTCAGCATTCCAAATTTCAGTTTTGCAACTCAGCGAGTGGGAGTATCTCAGTCCCCAAAGCATTGACAGTCCCAGTGGCAGCTTCCTCATTTGCTGAAGTCTTGGCTCTCCCAGGCCATTCTAAATTAATAACTGCTGGGCCGTGTCGGCATAAAGAGGGAGAAAGCCATCCCTGGCTGGAAGACAGAGACGTAATTAAGTGACAAAGGTGACGTTCTGGAATGTTCAGGAGATCCTCTCCTAAGTGAAACACAGCACACATGTCTAACACTCATACTTCTAGGCCAATCTCAGACGTTTTCCCCAGGTCCTGATTAAATTTCAACAGGAACCATGGAGCGGGCATGACCAGAGAGTGGGTGCGATCACAGCGCGGGTACCCGCCGTGCAATGATTACTACCCCTTCACCTCCAATCTGCCCTCCTTCTTATTTGTTAAGAAGTTAGTGCCAGCTGTGAATTTAGTGACCTACTTCTTAAAGGACTTACCTTCTGTGTATTTAACTTCTCAGGGTATTTTCACTCGTGTGACAGTTTTCTTCCCCTCCTCTCCCAAACCAGTTGCCTGAAGGATTCCCAGGGGATTCCACCTCTTTATTTCTTCCAGAAGGTCTTTCTTGACCCCTTCAAGGCAGCATCCAGGGACTTCCTATTTGCACTAGTGCGTGGCAGTTCACTGTGTTGGAGTCCGCTGGAATAGCGGCTAAGCATCCCATGCCTTAATCCTCCTGGCAACCTCTAAGCATTTGGCAGGCAAGGGTGAAGCCATCCTAATCTTTGTTCTCTCTGCTAGTGCCAGTCCAGGCCACAGCAAGAGCTGAGCAAATATTTGTTGCTGGCTGTGTTCACATCCGTTCTGGATTCGTAAGTCAGGTAGGCAGCTGTCAAGGTCCATTCATTCCGCAGAGACCGTGAGCTTCTCTCTGGGTTGGGGTCTTAGTGGACCATCTTGGAGAAGAGTCTCAGCCCTCACAGAAGGTGGCAGTGTTGCTTAGCAGTTTAAACAGTGAGCGTCAGAGACAGACAGCCTGTGTCCCGACCCCAGCCAGGCAGTCGTAACCTTAAGTAACTTACCTGCCTCTCCAAGCCTCAGTGCCCTTGACGATAACATGAGTATCACGATAGTTCTTAACTGATAGAGCGGTTTTGAGAACTAAGCTATAGCATGGATGTAGTGACACGTGCTAAACGTTAGCTGGTGATTATGATTAGGTAAAACCCAAAGGAACCCCTTGGGAGCCCTGGGAAGAACTTTCAGAGCAGGCTGCAAAGAGATTATGTATGAAGATGTGCTTGCAAGCTTAGCACATACGACAGTTAATCAGTGGCGCTGATTTTGGAGAGGGGCATTGTGCATTATAGGCTACTAGTGTGAAATCTGTACTAAAGGTGTGACTAGTGGGAGGAAATGCAAAACCCACCATTATTATGAAAGGCTCCTTGATGAGCAAGCAACAAGCCTAGCACTGAAAAATGAGAGCAATTAGTCCTTTGCAGACCGCCATTACTGTTTCCTGGGAGGCAAACCTAATGTCCCGTCCCAGATGACAGCCCTGAAACCCATGCAGGGTATCTGACCCCAGGGACATTGCTTAACAAGCTGGTGTGAGCATCAGCATTGAATCTCCTCCATTTCTGCTTTCTGAGAGCTGTGACCTTTGTATGTAATACAGCTGAAAATGTAATCTCTCAAAGGACAGAAGCCAAACATGTGCATTCAGTGTTCCAGAAACTTAATTCTGCCCGGGAAGCCTGGGCTGGGAGCTTGCGAGGCGATACCACAGGCCATGCAATTCTTGATTAAAAACAAACCATGGGGCAGTATTTTGCTCATGTAATTGTCTCATTAACTCATTAATGGAATGTCTGTCGCTGTGATCTGTTTGAAGCCACATTGGACCACTGCAAGCCGTTTATGTTCTATAATGTCGTGTGCACTCCAGTCATGTTCTTCTGCTAATGCAATGCTCACCATATGACTGCGGGGACATCTGGGGTCACGTGCACAGCTTTGAGGAGTTTCTTGTATTTTCGCTTACCACATCGGAATTGTGCGTTTACCTACCAAATGCAGAGCTCCTATGAGTTTTGTTACTCTTTGGCAAGAAGCTTCTAGCAACGGAGAATAGGACCTGTTCACATCTGGAGCTTGGCTGTGGCTGCTATCACTAGCCACATTTTTCTCCTTGGCTACCTGGAGTCTCAGAAGACGAAGGTGCTGCCTCATACGTCAGGGGCACTGGAAAGTTTTACAGCCAACCACGTGCCCTCACCCCCTCAAGCATGTGCATAGAGCCATCTCCCTGTCTATGCCATGCACATGGGGACAATGGGGAGTTCATACTTCCACCCTGATTGCTCATCTTGGCCCACTGGGCTCATATGAGATAACACCATCCCTTGACTGTTGGGAGTGTCGCTTTTCAGCCCTCTGACCCACCCGACCTGTGGAGCATGGGCTATTGGCTGAAGTCTGGAACCCCCAAAGTTGGGAGACCGTAGAGGGGGTGAGAAGACTTGCTTCGAAGGATGCGCCTGAAACTTTGCTTTGCAAGCCCATAAAAGAGGAACTTCATTTAACATATCTTTCCCCGACAGTGTTCCTGAGCTAACTTCTGTCTGTGGAGAGAAGAATGGTCATTAAAGTTCCTGAAGAGGGACTCTATTTATGCCTTTGTTATTCTGAACGATATTGACTTATTCATTTAATTAAAAACCTTCTAGGTTGATTATCGGTGACAGAACAAAATAGTGTTGGCCAAGAATGAGACTTTGCTGAGAAAATAACACTGATTCATTTTCAGTAACTCATAGGCAGAACGAACAAGTTATTGTCCTTGGCAGAAGTGTCTGAGAGATCCTAATTCACTCATTGTTTTTCTTGCAGTGAATATTAACTGGCCGTCTTTAGCTATAATATGCATCTATATGCACATTTTAAATCACCAATGAATCATTTGAAATGTGTGCTTTCATACAAATACAGGCAGACAGTAAAAAAGGCTAATAAGTTTAGCACCTAATTGGTCAACCTTTGAGAACTCGGTTAACACATCACTTTGCATCAGGCACTGCAAGTATTTTGTGAATTCTAATGCCACAGGAACAAAGGGGCACAGAGATGCTTTCCTCACCCATGTCAGTGAGCTTCAGACGATGTAAATCTGTTCTATTTTTCATTTTAAGTTCTCATTAATGTGAGTCCCAAAGGATGCCTGTTTTGCCCAGTTTTACAGACCACTGAACATTCGGGTCGTCTTGGTAGGCGTGGAAGTGTGGAATGATATTGACAAATGCTCCATAAGTCAGGACCCGTTCACCAGCCTCCATGAATTTTTGGACTGGAGGAAGATGAAGCTTCTACCTCGCAAATCCCATGACAATGCACAGCTTATCAGGTAGGGAGTTCTGTCTCCTCTTGACGTAAAGAAACAGTGCCCTCTGTTCGCTCTGTCTCTCCTTAGCTTTGCCTGCACAGCCCTCAGAGCTGCCACCTTTCTGCAGCGCACCCAGCCATCTGCAAGGGGGTTTCTCAGCCCACAACCACAGGTCGGATGCCATCCCAACTTGGAACAGCGCACTTATTAGGAAGGGCACCCTCTAGATGCCCTGGGAATCCCATCCCTCTCCAGAACTCTTATTTCCTACCCTCAGAATCTGGACATTTTCCTCTATGCCAATTTTTCTGATTTTAGTCTTAATATGAAGTTGTCCTGAGTAGACTATTTTTTAAAAGCCTCTTTTTTTATTATTAATGAAAAATGTATATTTATATAAGATCGAAGGATAGTACATTTGGACAAATATTGTCAGATGCCTGGAGGGAAAAAAATCTCATTCCTCCTTCTATTTCAGCTGTTACTCTTTGGTTTTCTAGATCAGAAAATACCAGTAGCATAGCATATTAACCTTGTATTCCTTATTTAAATCAGTAGGCATTGAGTACCTATTAGAAACCAATGTTTTAGAGACTTTGAATATAATGGTGACCAACACTAAATCTCCCTGCTCTCAGAAGTCTCCAGTCTACTGAGAGAAGACAACAATAAAATTTCAGAGCATGACAAACAAAGATAATAAGGTGAGGAAAGCATAACTGTAACATAATAGATTGGTAAGATATTACAGACACCTTTATATTTAAAAGAAAAGAACAATCTTATGATAATCTAAATTAGTACGAAGTAGATGTTTCCAGAAGTGGCAAGTTTTTATTTAAACCTTTAAATAGTTTGTGCCGTTATTTTTTGTTCGCATATAGCTTATATCACTGAAGTGAAAACTTCAGGAACAGAAATGCTTTCCTTTGGCAAATCAGATCTAGTTTATGGAATATTTGTGGAACATTAAAGACCAGACCTATCCTATTCTCACTTTAGAAAATGCATATATCTGAGCTGAGGCTATTGGCATTCCCTGATCATTTACTTTGACCATTTTCGCAGGGTTCCCCTGTCTTGGATATTTGTGGTTGCCTCACATTTTATGCATTGATTAGTTCTGAACCACTAAAAGTACATTTTATGTATTTTGAGTCAGAAAGTTTTGTTTTGATTTTTTTCCCAAATGTAGTCTGTCCAACTTGAACATCTGGAAATAAATTAGTATCTTACATAACTTTATTATTTAGATACATGTATAATTGTAGCTCTTCATATGGCCTATATAGATATAAAGGCCAAAACTCCTACTGTTGTAAATATGAATATTGTGGTTTAGATGGATAGACAAAGAGATGGATGGATGGATGGATGAATAGATGGAGAAATAGATGAAGTTTTATGTACACTTACCACCTTCTGTCCAATTGGTCATGGCTAAAATACCTAGCCCTTTGGACAATATATGTATTATCTGTATATACACATGGCCAGGATAGCATTGGTAAGGCATTTTATTTCTTTAAAGGAGATTCAACAAGCATGATGTTTAGTTTTTCATGCATGAGGTTGAAATTAACAGAATTTGCGTTAAACAAACCCTTGGTTTCCTTCAATTCATGATCAGATTAAGACTCCAGATAGGAGGAAGCCTGCACTGAAGCCATGATATTCCTTCTAGAAGCTTTTCCCCTGGGTGCCAAGGCTTTGCAAGTGCTTGCTTACTCGACATTGGCTCCAGGAGATTGATTATTTTTCTGCCCATTTCAATTTTGCAAGCTATATTAGTAGGACATTTTGAAGGAGTTTGAGATTCTGGCAGAATTATAATGAGTTACCCAGGAAAGCAAATTCAGCTACAACAGAAAATCTAGTAAACCATCTAATGTATTTATTTTAGTTAATAGTGATTCTCTGTGACTTTTTCCAGCCTTTCCATCAGCAAACATTGTTTAAATGGAGCTGCTCTCTACAGTCCATAAGAAAATAGGCAGAATATAATTTATAAATACAAAATAATGACTGTTTGTTTTCTTTTTTTCTTTTTTTGAGTCGGTGTCTCACTCCATCGCCCAGGCTGGAGTGCAGTGGCACACTCACGGCCACCCCAGCGTCAACCTGCTGGACTCCCGGCGATCCTTCCACCTTAGCCTTCCAAGTAACCAGAACTACAGGCACGAGCTGCCATGCCTGGCTAATTTTTGATTTATTGTAGAGAGGAGGTCTCACCAAGTCGCCCAGGCTGGTCTCAAACCCGCAGACTCAGACAACCCACTTGCCTCGGCCTCCCAAAAGTGCTGGGATTACAAACTGAGCCACTGAGCCCAGCCAGTTGTTTTCTGAGTCTTGAAAACAAAACTCTAAAAGGATGAGAGGATCACGATACAACTTTAAAAATAAAATTTTTATGGAAAAAGAGATAAAAATCACATGCAAACATACCCTTATACATATGTTTGCATACTCTGTTATAGGAAGTTCCAACAGAATTTCAAATATTAGAAAATGCTCTATTCTATATTAGATTAAAGCAAGTTCTCTCTTTTATTCCCTAGTGGGGTTTATTTCCAAGGGACCACCATCGGCATGGCACCAATCATGAGCATGTGCACAGCAGAACAGTCTGGAGGAGTTGTCATGGTAAGCCAAGGACGTTTCCCTTGTTCATGATTCCCCAGGAAGTCACTACTTTTATCAGACCTTGTGAAGTTAGGTTCTCTCCTTGAATGCTGTTTAGACTGTAGTTATATTTATAATTTTATATGCCCTACAATATTTTAAGGACTGTTTATAAAACGCAAATGGCACACAGGAAAGGTAGGCACAGAAAATAGCTCAGTGGAGGCGTCTACCTCTTTTATGAAGAAACATTTTCAACCGGGACTTTCCAATCCCGGAATTCCTCCTAGCCCTAGGGTGAGCCAGGGCACTGGGGTTGCCCTCATCTCACAGCTGTTTGGAAGTACTGTGGTCTCACCAGACATTCCCATGTGATGGTTTTCTGATGGTTCTGCCTCCAAGTCCATCAGCCAAAAGTCTGAGGTTTTTAACGTTTTACCACTGCAAATGCTTTACATACCTTCTGGCTGGTGTACAATTTATCTTTAAAACAACCTTATTCTTGGAAGGCAGAGACCAAGGTTTATGGCTTTACGAGGATAATTTTGTCATATAGGGACTATATATGTTTGCAAAAGGAAATAAAACGAGAAGAAAATGTGGGACTTCTTATGGATTTAAGAGGGAGGTATCTTTGATAGGCTGCCCAAAAGGGGGGTTCGTGTCCCTCTTTATCAGATCATTAAAGGACAGGTTTTCATCCTACGTTGTCCCTGCTGAGAAAATTTAGTGTCTTCTACGCACCGGCCCTCAGACAGGGAGTATCCTCAGAGACTGTTCTTCCATCTCTAGTCAACAAACAGAGCCTTGCCCTTCCAAGAAACCAGGAGTTCCTCCACATTTTTTAAGCAGAATATTTGTGAGCGTTCAGTAGTAGGAAAGGGTGGAAAGAGTTATGTTCCGCTGACTTTTTCTTTCTCTCCACGTACTGCCTAACTGAATCTTCTTTGTGAATATACATCACAGACATTCTCCTCTTCTCTGGGTACAGGGCTAGTCATGAACGTAAGCCCCGCACTAAAGGTATAAGCCATGCGGAGGGATGGAACCCACTTTGCGGATTTCCGGCTTGCACTGGCTGCTCCCTGGTTTTCTATGGATCTGGACCTGTGTGTGAGCTCCACCATGGAAGTCCTCAGAAAGTTTGGCTTGTGTTGGCTCTGGGTTCATTTCAAGTCAGATCCCAACCTTTTTTTTTTTTACAGAGCAGCCTGTAGATTTTTAAGACGGAATCATTTTCTGTTTCATGGTTCCATGGTCAGTTGCTACTGACTTTGTCACTTAAAATTGGCATAATTTTTTTTTTTTTTTTTGAGTTGGAGTCTCACTCTGTCGCCCAGACTGGAGTGCAGCGGCCGCTCCCGGCCACTGCAGCCTCGACCTGCTGGGCTCCGGCGATCCTTCCGCCTCAGCCTTCCAAGTAGCCCAAATT